AGAAAAATCCTGACAAATAAGGGGTATTGTGACTATATATACCGCTATGGTAAGATTGCAAAAAAACACTAAGTGGTGGTAGGCGTTGGGTCACAACCCGATGCCTAGGTAGTGCTTAGGCGCCATCTAAGCGCTATTAAGCACTTTAGGTGTATTTATTTATTTATTTTTATTTGTAAATATTGTTAAAATATAACAAAAAAAAATTCAAATAATAAAAGAAATGTCTGCCTCTAGTGCCTACGGCTTAAGCAAGGTGATGGAGTGTCACCTAGAACTTAAGTGCTGCCTTAGCGCTACCTAAGTGAGCTTTTTGCAACTCTGTTGTATGGTATGGTCCATTATAGTCCTCAAAGAAGAAACTGTAAAGTTGAAATTTTTTGTATCAAAGTATATTAAAAAGCATGTGTAATTTAAATGAAAAAAAATATAATTTTATTTATTATTAATTAATTTTAATTTGAATGCAACTTTTTTTAGGATAAAATTTACAGATCTAATTTTTACAAATACCAAGACCAAGCCTACAACTTTCAAGTTTCGACGCCCTAAGCGAACGGCTACTTTTATGCAACCTTTCTTCCAGTAGGATCTTAAGCCACAGTTAAAAGTTGTACTTGAGTTTATAGCTTGTTTTCTATCCATTAGGTTATGATTTTGAATCTCCCCTTCCTAATTAATATATATATATATTTTAAGGTTTTCTAATATGTGTTAAAAGATATAATAAATATATATTTTTTATTATTTAAATTAATTAAAAATAAAAATTATTTTTAATTTTATTAATTATTTAATTAAAATAATTAATGTGATATTCCCGTTAAAATTAGTTTCACCTTTAATATTTTTATATGCAAATTTGTTGTAAAACGATAGTACATTTTTATATTAAAATTAGTTAAAAAACCTCCTTCTTTTTCTTATTTATTGCTTAGTTCGTATTAAATTAGGTCAGGCTTTCTACTATAGCATACACATCAATTAATTTCAGAACACTATAATTTAATGTTCTCCTTTAAGAAATATGTTCATTGAATAAATTTAGATTTTTTAACATATGCCCTTATATATAGGTTAATATTGTAATTATTAGTATATTTTTTGATATTAATATGTACTGAAAAATATTAAAATTAATGTTAATTTTGTTACTAATGATAAGTAAATCATTTTAATTGAGTAATAATTAATTAAATAAAAATCAATTTTTGTTATTCAATAGCTACTAGTATCAAAATAATATGATAATTATATATTTAATTTATACCCTAAAAATACAAATTAATATCACAACACCTTTTCCACGTAAAATTTTTCCAAGAAAACCTCTTTCAAGCCAGACACGCCCTAGCTAAGGAAGAGGCGGCAGGTATGGAGCTCTGTTGATTTCCATTCTAGTGCGCCAACCACAAAAGATGAAAAGCAC